TGCACGAAGGAACATTCCGTGCCATGATATGAGTGTTTATGCACGAAGGGTCATTCCGTGCAATCATTTGTGAGGTAAAGCACGAAGGGTGATGCCGTGCACTTTATATGATTGTTTGGGTGAGAATGAGAGTAAAAGCACGAAGGATGGTGCCGTGCAACTGTTGATTTCCTACTTTCGTTGATATTGTAGTTGTACTGTTTCATTCCTTAATTATTGATTTTTATACCTGAACTGTTACAGCCCCTACAGCATGCTCCCCTCCCCCTTGACTGGTTAATTTCTGTATACCTTTATATTGCATACATATATATTGAACTGCACAAGTTTGTTTGGTAGTCGGGTCTAGCCTCGTCACTACTTCGCCGGGGTTAGGCCAGGCACTTACCAGCACATGGGGTCGGTTGTGCTGATGCTACACTCTGTGCATCTTTTTGCACAGATCACGGTGCCGGAGCAGCTTTTGGACAGCAATAGTAGATTTGGGAGCTGACTTCAGTCCAGAGACATCGAGGTAGCCTTGCTGACGTCCGCAGGCCTGGAGTTTCTTCTGTCTTTACTTTAGTTTGTTATCCTTTGTACCGGAACAACAAAACTATGTTTTTATTCAGACGTTGTATTTAGCATTCTCTAGACGTTCGTGAGTTTGTGACTCCAGTTCTTGGGTAGAGTTGTATTGAACTTCCGCATTGCTTTCAGTTTATTTATATTTAAGACTTCCATTTTTCTATTAAATGTTTCGTTGTTTTAATTAATGTTGAGGTTTGCTAAAAGAGATAATAAATAATTGGCTCGCCTAGCTCCTAATAGTAGGTGCCATTACGACTCCCGAGGGTGGGAAATCTGGGTCGTGACAAGTTGGTATCAGAGCACTAGGTTACATAGGTCTCACAACTCACGAACAAACTCGGTAGAGTCTGAGTGATCGGTACGGAGACGTCTCTATTTATCCCCAAGAGGCTACAGAGTTAGGAAATCTTACTTTTGTTCTTTCTTGTCGTGCGATTCTGTTTCTCAAATACTGATTGTCTCTCTACTCTGTTCTTTCGCAGATGGCGAGAACACGTGCTTCTTCTTCTACCGCGCAGCAGCCCAAGCCCCCAGCAGCAGCTCCTACGAGGGGCAGAGGGCGAGGCCGTGCCAAAGGCCGAGGCTGGGGCAGAGCTCAGCCCCGAGCAGCAGTCCCAGAGGTGGAGCCTCATGTTGATTGTGACGAGGAGGTTCCAGCCCCAGCAGCTCCGGTGGGCCCAACTCAGGTCCCAGAGGGGTTTATAGCCACCCCAGTTCTTCAGGACACTTTGGTCAGGATGGTATGCTTTATGGAGAGCGTCTCTCGAGCGGGTTTGCTTCCGGTAGCACCAGCCACTTCTCAGGCTGGAGGAGGAGTTCAGACTCCTGCTACACGTACTCCGGAGCAGGTAGCTCCCCAGGCTCAGGTTCTAGTGGTTCAGCCAGCTGTGGCAGTTCAGCCGGGTATTGTGACTCAGACCGGCGATGGAGCAGCTATGTCCGCAGATGCTTTGTGGAGGCTGGATAGGTTCACCAAGCTCTTCACCACCACATTCAGTGGTGCTTCTTCAGAGGACCCCAGGATTTCTTATATAGCTGCCATGAGGTTCTTCGGACTATGGGTATTGTGGAGACCAATGGGGTCGACTTCGCCACCTTTCGTCTATCTGGATCCGCCAAGACTTG